ATTAATCATTCAATCAATCGATCGATCAATCAATCAATCACTCAATTATGTAGCATATTAGTACAAGAAATAAGGCCTAAACGGATTCAGATCATCTCATATTCATAACCAACCATCAGTGACGAGCCACCGCGAAACGGAGTCAGCGGTATCGAGTTTTATGTGTGGATGAACGCTATTGGGTCACCAGGCCAAAATCACGTAATAGGCCTTGGTAGTCAAGACAGTGTAAAAAGTGTAGTACTAGATAGACACATTCTGTGTAGGCCTGAGCATGGCGTTCGAAAGTATAGAAAAACGGAATAGGCCTAATATTGAATCTGGCGCCGTACCAGGCCTAAAGTTGGCTTAGATACAGTATTACGTGTGTTGTAGCAATTGTATGCTCCCTATAACGGTTCTGATTCTGAAGGATACGTTTAGAATGCTCGGAAACAATTTTTTTTACAATTAAAAGATTTTTTATGAGAAAAAAATCCCTGCCTATTATTAATTAACAGACAGTGACCGTTTCTGTATTCTTTTGCATGATTCATTTGGTTGGTAACATTTAAGGATAAATCAGTGAAAGCTATTTTTACTTCCATCTGATTTTGATCGTTTTATATAAAACTAATCAATATCTAATTGGGTAAACACAGCCTAAACAGTACGTCATATCATGTGTATAATCGTAAAATTAGTGTTTATAATAGCCTATATCTGCTTGCTATATAACCTATGCCTTTATTCATATTGAATATGAACGAAATGTTTGTAAGAAATCAACAATACATAGAATTGTATCTGTGTGGAACATTTCCAAACGTTTCCTTTAGAATCAGTAATTATTGCTACTTTACACTACTCAAATAATCGACCAAAAATTCAACGCTGCCTTTTGTATACTTTCAAAGGCCATGTTGTACGTAAACACTGCCTAGGCATAAGGATAATTACAATAATAGTCAATTACGGTAGTTCACTCTGTATCGACTGTATACACTATTCCTCTCGACCGACTTCCAAGATATTTTGGCCTACCCTAACCATGGATGAATTAGTTTAGTTTCTTAACTAACTCCCCAATGCCCTATGCCTAGCTTTTATATTCCACAACTAACAAGCAGTGAACACCACTTTCGCGACTCGCGAGAAGACTGTGTCAAGCACGCATATTCATGTTATCGGTTCACCTAAATTACCTTAAATAGTGCCCTCTATCATTTCTGCCGAAACTGTATGGGAAAAAATAATGCTCGCCGGCCACCTACTATATTAAATTTTTCTTGCCTCCCTGGGCCCCTTCTATTTCGAATACTGTACCTAGATCCGCCCTGACTACCACTTGATCACTTATTCCCTTGGTTTCCAAATAAGCCCATCTTTTACCATAGGCCTACTCTGAATCTCTTGGTTAATATATGTGTTAACATTCTCTTTCGTAACTGCTGCACAAAACTTATGTAAATTACTTTTGGTTGATTTATTGGTTAATAACTAAATCTGTCTTAAAGTGTACCTATGTAGGATAAACATGAGCGAGGCACGTTAATATCTCGCGTTAAATATGTAGAAGGTATGCGCGTGTATATAAATGAGGCTTTGCTTGTCTACATTTGGAAATGAGGATATGAAAAGGAACTGAAATTAATAATGACATCAACCAGGGAGATAACTTATCTTATTATTTATACTTCCAAATCTTGCATAAGTCAAAAATACATTTTGTTAATGGCTCGCTGGTCAGAAACCAACAATGCTGATAACAAACAAACACATTGTTGATCATGGACGGATGCTAGGTTCCTTGACTGATAAGAACATGTATAAAAGATGTCGGGTAGGCCTACACGGATAATAATTCAATCAAATTCCTCCAAGATCAGCACTTACTGAAGTTCGTTCCGTAGTACATCCCCTCCGCCACAATGAAGATTCTCATAGTTCTTGCTGTCGCTGCGATCGCTAGTAAGTAAAATTATTATTATTCATTTTGAAACATGTAGACTTACAAAATAAGAAAAAACTGAGTAGTAGTAGTAGTAGTAGTAATAGTATTTAATTACAACATTAATTCTCACATCACTCAAGAAAAATCAAATCTTTCACTGGCTATAGACTTTTCTCTTACTAACTTCAGTATAAATTGAGTTGTTACTCGTTTGAAATCACGTGGGTTTTTATTTCAATAAGAATTTAATTATTATTAACGAAAAAAGGAAAAATTGATTAGTTTTTTGACATGCTGGTTTTATGAAGCTTTTTCAAATTAGTACTTAAAAGTTTTGAGTTTATCTGCGATACGTTTGAAATCTGATATAAAACACTATTAGTGACACTTTAATTTGTACAACAGAGGGCGGGGAGGGGCCAATTCCCTGGACGGAGGTGGACTCATCTCCATGACATCTTACAAGAGACGGTAGATTAGTCTCATTCATTTTACAAATGTTTACATATTCATTTGTTTACTTGATGACCTATTTTTAATTGGTTTTAGGTGCATCACCAGCCCGTTACAAGCGTAACGTAGGCCAGTTCGGCAGCATGATAAGTTGCATGACAGCTCAAGGATTGTTCCGATCTTGGAGGGACTACGACGGTTATGGCTGCTATTGCGGACTGGGAGGAACTGGGACGCCACTTGATGAAACAGACGAGTAGGCTTTTAGATTTGCATGTTTAGTTTCATAACTGGTTCTATTAACATCAAGTTTCATTTCATGTTGTATCTCTTCATGTCTAATTTATGGAGCTCTCACTCTAAGCAGTCACTAATTTTATATGGCACTTTTAAGCACCCACTGAAGAGCGGCTTGTGGTACCACTTACAACTGAAATAAACAAACCAATTTGTTAATTTATATTTTCATTTAATATATATTTATTTTCAAGGAAATTTTCACAATTGACAATCAGTCAAAATAAATTCATTCACATCAACTAAATTCAACTTCAAATATAATTATCAGTTATTACTCATGCTACTACAAAAACGAATTTTCAGTTTTTGTAATTTTAAAATCATGTAGATGCTGTGTCACTCACGACAACTGCTACGATGATGTTATGAAAAGTGGGAAATGTCCGTACGAGAGTCACGTTTACCTTGTACTTTATAAATATACGACAAAAATGTGCAACACGGGAAGAGCCGCGATTGCATGTGGTAGGTGGCCCTGTTACTCATTACATTTTATGTTTTTAATCGTATGGCATATGCTTTGAAAGGTTTGGTGAATCTGCTTACAGGTTCGTGATTTTAAAATAAAATTTAAAGAAGATTTCGTGGCATGTAACTTTTATAACATTGAAATAACTCATTTTGTGTGTTACTGGCCTAATCCTATCCACATTATAAGGCATTACCTTAGGACACCCCTCCTTCCTTGTGCGTGGTGGCCGGACTCACCGACAGACATTTGGCCGACAGACTATTGACCGAAATAGTCGGCAACACCACATTTCACCGAATGCCAGTTTGCCGACAGGACGATTGTGAACATGTTAATGGATCAGTGTGTCACAAGTGACATATTTAGCTGTTTTATTTTTATTCGGTTATTTAAATGTCCAAAACCTTTCTGGTACAGAATATTGTGCACAGCCTACAGACACCAAATGTTAAATTATATTTTGAGCATTGAAGTGTGAGGAAGGAGGAGTAGAATAACATTATGATGAATTTAATTATGTTTGCTTATACTTTCTTTATCTAGATTTAATTCTCAGTCACTATTAAAAAAACTCACCAAAATATTAGAAATCCAATTCTTTCATTTATTAAGGAATGCTCTTGTCAGTATACATGTCGCTTTATTTTTGTTTAATTTAACACAATAACTGCTTTTTAACTGCAACCTCCCAACTCCTAGAGAAATCATTGCCTAAAGTCAAAACGAATTAAGCCCCCCCCCCATAATAATAACGTTTTAGACAGTATTTATGTGACGATATAATTAATTTATATTTTTTCGTGCACCGTCCATATTTTAATATGACTTATTGAATAGTTATTGTATCTTGTGCAATTCTTTTACATAATTATTATTTAATAATGAATAATTATATTCTTAATTTTATGATCATTTATTTTTTATTTTAAATTTGTCATTTTCTGTATAAAATGTAGCCACTATAAAAACAGATAATCAATTTGGCTTCTTTATTCAATTTTTATATAGCTACCTTTCTCATTTATTGAATTGTATATACCCATTAATTTATTGATTTGCCTAATTTGTACCGTACATTCAAAGTGTATTTCAAACCTGTGTTTTTGAATTTTATATGTGAATGAATAAAAGATACCGACCAATTAATATAATAATACTTTATTTAAAAAAAAAAAAAACTACGCCTTTCCATCGGCGACACACGTCACGCGTAGCAATTCATGAAGTGAACAATTAAAACAATGTATACACAAACGCATCAATGTACAAGACACGAGGTTAAAAGGTCCAAAGATTCGGTGAATCGTGATGAACAGTAAAATTTAAAAGTATTTCCTTTTTTCAATTAAAAGTACGATGTTTCGTTCATACAAACACATGTTCAGATAAATTATGTTTTAGAATGCATAATATAATTTCTCTGTTGCCATGCTATTGTAAATTTGCCAGAGTCTCCAAGAAGTATATCCATTTCCACTCATGAATAAATAATGTGTGCTCTACTTGTACATTTCAACTTTACTGTATAGGCTATTTGTGATACATCGTATTCTGGTGTATTTAAAATATATGAAATATTATTTTAAAGTATATTGTACATTTCAATATTCCTTAAATTTGCAGTCACACCATCTTGTACCTGCCTACCTTTTTACCTGAATTTGTACCAAAATTTGCCCTTTAGTTGTTACAGTCTATTAAGATTTTCTACAGTAGACCTACTAAAATATTTAATAAAAATTAAAGATAAACATGTGTTTTATTATAGGTCTTTATTTAATATTTTTAGCAGAACCTTGTATTGCCATGATTAATATATTGAAAGTGTGTCTGCATGTATGCATAGCTGTAAATAACGAATTTCCGTGATGGCTAGGTCTACCCAGTCTGCAACAAAACAAAAACAAATCTGTTGAAGAATCACAACAACACAAACTGAAAATGACTAGGCGAATTTTTCGGTTTCGGTGAATGTTATTTCGGTCAACTGTCTGTCGGCTAAACGTCCGTCGGCAAACTAACATTCGGCGAAATGTCTTAGTACCCTGTTTGTGAGACCTGCACAAACAATGTTTAATAGGTTTAACCGTAAGAAAAACAGTTATTTATTTTAATCAAGAATCCGAAACACTTCCATGCCACATTAAAGATGACCTCCTGCCCTTGCCATTCTTCATTCGTTACCGTTTGTCGCTATCTGTTTTGCTGAATAAATACATGCTTATATAGACAGTCCAACACAGTCCTCACTATAATTTGGTTCAGTATATCAAATTTTGTAATATGGAAATGATCGAAAGATTAACATAACAAACGTCATCTTTGATTTGTCTTCCGCAGCTCCTGCCGATGACTACCGCCTGACTGACTCCCCGTGGCCAGAATGTGCTGCCGCTATGTGTGAGTGCGATGCGAACGGGGCCAAGTGTTTTGCCCAGGCTTCAGATACATATAACAAAAACTACAAAGACTGGCCTCAGGAAAATTGTTAGGACAGATCATGGAGGAATTAGTTAATTCCTCCATGGACAGATAATATAGGCTTACTTCTGCTTTATTTATTTTGAGTTGATATGATCAGTTTTGCTTCCATTGACTTTCATCAGTAGGCTATAATCTATCTGCCCAATATTTTTCCATTTATTTCTGTTCTTCTAAAAGCACTTGTGTATATTCTCTGAATGAAGAACTTGGGATTTTTGGATATTAAATTCTAATACTATAGTATTGTTTCTTTATAAGCGTATTTATTTCTCTGACTCCGCATTACCAGAATGAAAGTGCAGTTACTTGCCAATTATCGGAGGAAAATTATCGATTTCCGGTGACCAGAATGTGCCGCTATGTGTGAATGCGATGTTCGGCACTAATCGTCTCACTTCCCGTTACCAGAATGTGCCGCTATGTGTGAATGCGATGTTCGGCACTAATCGTCTCACTTCCCGTGACCCAGGGGCGGATCCAGAAGGGGAACTGGGGAACGTGCCTCCTCCCGTTTTGCCACTAAATTTTAAAATTTCAAGGCATATATTGAAATTAGCACTCTCACTTATCTATTCTGAATATGTTTGTGTTTAGCTATTTATGTTTTCAACTCTTCATAATCTTTCAGATTATCATTATTTGTTTTTATTTTTTCAAATAGCAAATCGTAATTTTTTTATGAGGCTCCAAAATTTGATGAGGATGTCGACTTCAAACTAACAAACTAACAATTAATAACTTATTTGGCCTAAACAGGACCATTTTTTTTATAAAAACACCGTTACATCTTGTTTGAAATTGTTTATCCTGTATAAATATGTTAAGTAAAATAAGTAATAAACGTCTAACCCCTCGTAATAACCAGAATGTACTGCGATTGTGATGTTCGTGACCATTCGTCTTACTTCCCGTAACCAGAATGTGTGAATGCGATGTTCGGCACACACTTTCCTGTGTACCATGTGTGATGAACTTGATCGAGACGAATTTATCTCCACGTGAGTGTATGGGCGTCTAGTAAATGAGGTTTTGCGCTTCTATTGAAATGGGGATATAAAAAGGGGCTGAAAATATTAATGACATCCACCAGTAAGATAACTAAACTTATTATTCATGCTTTCAAATCTAGCTTGAAAAAAACTAAATTCTGTTAATGGCTCACTGGTCTGAAACCACCAAAATGATGGTAACAAAAATAAACGTTTTATGGATAGTAGTTTGAGTCTACATAAATATTGTGCTTGTTTACTATAGACAAAACAATTCTACAAACACAAACATTGTTGATCATCGATGTATTAAAGGTTTCTTCACATTGTGATGCTTTATAATCAATAGCAAAATAGCAGATACTGTAGATGTATATTATTGTTATACATATTCCGTTACACAATACATACATGTATACACTATATATATACTGTCTCTTATACACATCT